TCGATATAGCATCGATTTATAATAATTGTATAACATATTTATTTATTAAGTCAATTAAGATTTATTATTATTGTGATTATAAAAGATGTTGACAGAAATTATCAAAATGAAAACAAACAAAAAAGTACAACAAATGACAAGCAATATAGATTTCAACAACAAATAAAAAATTTCATAAATTAAGCTAAAGTTGTCTTGATTTCACTTTTTCTTGTGTACTGTACTTTATTGACAGTTATGGAAGGAAGTAAACAAAAACAAATATTTAATTTAAGTTAACAACAACAGAATTTAGATTTATAATTTGCTAAAGTTTAAACTAAAATTAAAAAGCAACCATTTGTAATATCTGGAAAGACTAAATATAAAAGGAAGAAATTAACAAGAAAGTTAAGAGCGTTGCCACTCCGAAATTCGCAGTAGTCAGAAAGTTAGTAATTTAGTTTTACAGATGGAATCTCATCTACAAAGAGCTGTAAAGGCTTAATTTGATCTCATAATAAGTGATGAATGAGAGACAGGATTTTGAAGAACGCCTTATCCCCACACCCAACACTTACTAGTATAATTCATACATATTACTGAACATTTTGTTCGGATAAGCTAAAAATTTGTGTGCACTTAAATATACAATACAATAGACGATAAGTTTACCCTTTTCGTGCATTAACATCTACAGAAGCACGAGGACACATTTTAAGCCCTCGTCCTACGCGCTCATGATTTAACTTCCGTAGTTCTTGATGCACAAAAACATGTATTAGAGTCATTCTTGCATAAAATGATATGACTGAATTGCTGATTGTACGATACATGTGTTTGTTGTTTTCGGTATAACGAAACCTGTTTCTTTATTGATTTTAACTCGCTTATGTGTTATGTTGTGATAATGGAGTAACCGGGGCCGTCATTGCAATTAGCAGTTTTGCATGGTGGCAGAATCACGCATATTTACAAGAGCTCATAGAGTGCTCGACTGTTCTCAGTGCTTGATAGCTTAACAAGGATTTAGAGAATGAAGAAGTCGCTATATTTAAAAGGGCCATAATTCTGTCAAAATCCATGATAAAGTTATTGACCTTTAACAGTGATCTTCTATTATGCTAACAAATAAGTGTATAAGATTTTAACCTATTCCATGATGTATTTTTTTTTACAAAACAAACTTGCGTGCAAACCTTTGCCAAGCTGTAACGCTGACGCCTTTTGTGTACAATATCAATCCCAATTTTTCGAAATATCGAGCTCAGTTATATGCTCATATAGTTTTATACATAGATGCAACTTTTTGTTATCTGTGAATGTACACATGTGTTTGCAGTTTTTTGCAGGAATGCCAGTTTTTTAGTGTGTTATATGTATGAAAAGTTTTGATCATACGAATTATCTTGATCATTGAAAAATGATCCAAAATCATTAATAAGTGACGGCCGTCTTGAATTAAGAAGCCATATTGATTTTTCTACCGATGGCATGTTTGTATTATGTTTGTATTATGTTTGTATTATTATTTTTTGTTTTGTTTGATTGTGCACTCTTATGCCCTTAAGGGCCATGAGCTTTTGTTTATAAATAAATAAACACTAAAGCATTTTCCAAGAAATTACTATAACTGACCTACAATGTCAATTTATATCATTTTCATGCCATAAATAAATCGTAATTTTGGCGGTCATCTTGGATTTTAGCGGCCATCTTGAATTTTTAAAAAGTGGATCCCAGGCTGAAATATCTTAAAATACTATTTCCTGCCACCATGTCAAGTTTCATGCTTTTCTCGGGAGGTGCAAAATTAGTTCACTGATTTCTTGGACTAATAAAAAATCGACTAAATTGGATTAAATAACTTTGTAATATTGTCCAATTGGACAAAACGTTTCCCTGCACAAACGGTACATGTTATGGTTTACAACGTCACAAGTCACTTGAAATCATGCAAAATAAAAATCAATGCTACTAAATTTAGGTTCATATGATATTTTTAATTTAATTAATTAATTTTACATGCCTTTATAATTTTCTCAAGTAAAGATTTGAAATGACGTTTCTTTTTTTCTTTTTTTGGTTCCGATCAGTCCGTAAACATTTCCCAAATTATGATGCTGTCGCAACATCAATACATTTATGAGTACATGTCACAATACAAGATGTCGCTTGATCAAAGTAAAGGATAACTTGCCCCTAAAAATATTCTCATGCGCGTACGACAAGATTGGAGACATGAGTTTTATTCCCATCATGTTCCTAACAATGTATTTACTGTTGAATGTTTAAAGTAAATAAGATAATCAATGTTAAGGATAATAGAGACATTTTATTTATTGTTGTTTGTGTAATCATTATAAAGGCGCGCGTTAATGATTCGCACCGCTTAATTCTCTATTTTCTTGAAGTTGAAAATCACTTATTTAATGCCCAGTGTGAGTGATAGGCGTGTAACTATCACCTCGACTATTTTAAATTTGACAGCTTTGTACTCCTACTACATAATTTAGTGTTGTACTTTGCAATTTATAACAATGACAAAAAGTTATGATTATTATGTTTTATCAATGAAAATATTTAACTTACTTGAAGAAGAAACATTGAAGATTCAGAAATAATAACGCGTGCCTTTCAACGACTGTTTGGATATGAAATTAATCAATATTGAAGTCATAATTGCAATTAAAAATTTTAAAGATAATAATATTTTGTAGCATTATAGTAACAATATATTAAGCGAGGAACATTTCATCAGTATCCAATGTCATTGTCATGTTAATCAATAGCATCGCAATACAAGTAACTAAAACACACACCAACACAAAGTTCTGAAAAGCTAAAATGGGTGAAATTTCATTGATTATATTTTAAATTGTGGAGTTCAACGTTCAACAGCTACGCTAATGCTGCACAAACTAAATAACTATATAATTAAGTAGCTTTGGGCTACAATATAGTGATTTCAAACACACGTTTCAAACAGATAGGGCAGTGAAGTGCATTAAAATCGATATTTACACGACAAACAAAGGAAAATTTACAAGACAAAATTGTAAATAAGGAACAAACACTTCTACGCTCATTCTTCTTATTAAAATAATAAATAGAAATAGATATAAGTAGATATAAATGTTTTTGTCATAGTATAATAATGCACGGTTTATTGTAAATAATCACTAGGGTTTATCGGTAAAAAAGTGGCTCCTTTCAATAAAATGAAAGTTTAATATAAGAATTTAATATTTGCCCTATAACACCCTTAGATTTCATAAAAAAGTAAAGTAAAGTTAATGACATATAAATAAATATATTATGACAAATATATATATGGTTTGTTGTTATGTCTGATACAAATGAAATCGACATAATAATTCATTTATTGTATTACAGTCATTTTATGAATGTAAAACGGCGGTACATTTAGGTCAGACACTCACATTGATATTTCCATAGACTTACATTATAAGAAATGGTCCCTAATCTTACCTTAAAATTGAGTTTTCATGCTTAAGAGGTGATTTTTCTAGCAGAATGAAATGCCAGACACATAAAAATTGTCCTGTTATATAGTGGTAGCCAACCAAATTTTTTGCAAAATGACTTCAAAGAGGATTACCCCCCATTTCATTGAAATTTTCTGCTGATCACAGGACTGACATACACTTTTAATAAATGCAAATATCCAAGTCAAAATTATCATAGAGACTCATGAAATATTTCATTTTCTTCAGAAAACAGTATAGTGTTACTTTTTAATTTAGTTTTTACACTTAAAAATACCTCATTCTCATCCAATCACCTCATGTATAAAGTGATTCATACGGTTTTCCCTGCACTTTTTTTCAGCCAATCGCTGGCCATGTTACAATACGATACCCTGACCTAAAGGGAATATTATATGTTTAATATTCTAATATCTAATAATAAATGAAGTTGCAAATACAATTACCAATTATATGGATACATTTTCATCACTCTTAAGTCATTTCAAACTTTGAATATCCCATTTTTCTAACAAGCGCCATTGTGCCGCATTCCGGATATTCTGAAAATGAATGTTAGCATGTGATTTTCATACATAATTCAATATTCTGAAGCCAATTTTGTAACAACTTCTATAAAATCACTCAGATAGCAAAGCTACACTGTTCTCATTACAGAAGTACTTCAAAGTACTAATTTTGTAGCAAAAGCATGTAGCAGGGAGCAATTTTATCACCCCACCCATAACAAAATAAGTGATTTTTCACCCAAATTTCAACATTTTATTACCAACAGACTTCCTGAATGAAGATTTAGCTTAGCAAACATACTTAATAACTACTGTATAGTGACCTGATTATGGATTACACATTATTTGTACACACATAGCAACATTTTGGATGTAACTAGGTATCTTAAAACTGCCCCTGCTATACTTTTCTACTCCAAATATTTGCTAATATAGTCTTAAATACAAGCCTAAATGTCAATAAAATGCCAAAATTCATTTATAAATATTTGTAACTCTCTTTCATGGATATAAAAAAATGCAATACATGGAAAAATCAAGTTCCTCTGGACTTAACAGCACAGTAATAGCCTAAAATTTGACTTCTACACCCATTTTTTGACCATTTTTGCATTCATTTTGAGCCAAATTTGACAACTGAAACCTTCTTTCATGTGTTTTACCATGTAAATCACCTCTTCAGGCCATAATGTACTTGGAATGGAAAGTATTTGTGTATTTTCTTCAATTTAGGTAGCCAGAAACTCTAATTTATGCACTTATTTAAGTTTCTAAATAAATAAAGGGAGGTAATTCACTGAATATGTACATAATAACCCCCTTTGTGTACATTTATCTACCTGAATAAGTGCTTTTTCTGTTTATAGACACATCAGAGACACTAAAGCAGTGTTATAATTGTGCCTAATATAATTGTGAAAAAGTAGATCAACTTTAACTTATCAATAAAACTTTTTCCACAAAATAATTCTACCCTTGGCCATTATGATGCTCATTCAAATATGCCTTAAACAGACATAAAGTCTAAAATGTATGGCATTATACATTGTGAATGTGTAAATATGTATTACAAAATAGAAAACAATAAATTCTTAACACTATTTTGCATCTAAACCATATAATAAGAGGCTATTCAGAGGCAACCTAACTGAATTATGCTACATTTTTCAATGCATTTCAATTTCTAAGTATGTGTTGATATTCATGCCCTGAAACCAAGTCAATGTTAAGACAGAAGCCTTAAAATGCTATTTATTTGAAGCTTTTATGCTATCTATGCCTGTAAATGAAACACATAACATTCTTATATGGGAAACAGACATAGAAGCAATTTATTTGTGACATTCTATGTAAATATATCAGCAAAATGGAAAAAAATTAGTGCCGAGCGAAGAACTTTCCGCGCCTAAACAAAGTCGAAAACATAACCGAAACAGCACCCTAGACTATTTTAAGTATAAATATATTAGTTTTGAACCCGACAATATGCATTTGTAGTGATATACCTGCAACACCCATCAAAAGTGGCCAATGTGCTTACATCAGGTCCTGTCAAGTTATAAATGAAGTCTTCAAACCTGGCATGTGTATAGCCAATGTACAGCATTTCTTTGAAATCTGAAAACATATTTTTAATGACCAAGGTCTATATTATTCATCATCAACATATCACCAATTGATTTTCACTCAAATTCACTGTTTAAAGAAAATATAAACCATTATTAACTGATAAGTAACACTAATACACTTGTTCATATGTATACAATGCTTGTAGATTGACCCCCTTGACACATTATCTGCTGTAAACACCAACAGTTGCATTGAAATAATGAAATTTCATACCTTGAAAGGCTGTATACATCCATTCTTCCAAAATATCAGCTTTTCATGGTGTAATCAATGAAGACAAAGTACTACAAAGAATTATGACAGTTCAAATGACCCTCTCTTTAGGTCAGACACTCACATTGATATTTCCATAGACTTACATTATAAGAAATGGTCCCTAATCTTACCTTAAAATTGAGTTTTCATGCTAAAGAGGTGATTTTTCTAGCAGAATGAAATGCCAGACACATAAAAATTGTCCTGTTATATAGTGGTAGCCAACCAAATTTTTTGCAAAATGACTTCAAAGAGGATTACCCCCCATTTCATTGAAATTTTCTGCTGATCACAGGACTGACATACACTTTTAATAAATGCAAATATCCAAGTCAAAATTATCATAGAGACTCATGAAATATTTCATTTTCTTCAGAAAACAGTATAGTGTTACTTTTTAATTTAGTTTTTACACTTAAAAATACCTCATTCTCATCCAATCACCTCATGTATAAAGTGATTCATACGGTTTTCCCTGCACTTTTTTTCAGCCAATCGCTGGCCATGTTACAATACGATACCCTGACCTAAATACATGTATTTTCTTCAGCCATTATTTTGATTTATAGATGTAACGATAGATCATTGCGCGGAACTGAAAACGCGTGCTGAAAATGTTTCCGGCTGATAACAATCTTCGAAGTTCTTATCTCCCGCGAATGAATGACCTTATAGTCTAGCATGATTTACCTATGAATAGAAGAGATGCACTATAAATCAACCTGAATATAGACAAAGTTTTAATTATTCTCAAAATGCTTAACCTTTGCTCTTTAAGGACATATAAATCTTAAATATTGTTGAAATATCAATAAATCTTAACAAACACTGGTCTTTCTTATAAATTATATAAAAAATGATTAAAAAAGATCTAATTATCTTTAATACTTTTTATTTAATGTTTGTGTAAGCTGCTATTTATATCATATTTTGTATAATGATTTAATATAACATTTTTTTTTTTATAAAAGGAATGCCGAGTTCCGTAAAATTTAATCTAGACATATATTATGTAATACATAAAGACATGAACCCTGCAATAAGTTCTTCTAAAAGACCAATTTTCCGTCCCTTCATTACTCTATAATGTAAGTGAACAGAGGGCTACGCGTTCAGCGCAGTAATCCTATCGGTATCACTACAATGTGATGTAATTAAACGTTCCTGACGTGTTATTTACTATCTGAAACGAATTTAGCGGGCTTTATCACCGCTATCTCACCGTCATGGAAAATTTGATGTTCAGAAGTACACTATATGTATTTGTTATAATGTGGTAGAGTGTTATTGATTTATAATCAAAAGGATTGCACTTAAATTGAGCGAGTGATTATGTGATCATCAGAAGCAAAACAACGGTAATTATTTCTGTTTTTCTATTAACTAAAGGCGAAATTATAATCATCTTTACCTTGTAATTGTTAAATTTGTATTTAATTTAGTATTTGTTATAGATTTTGAATATAGTGTGAACATCACTAATGGCCGGTGGTTAATATGCAATATATTGATCCATATACATGTACATTTGTACATCACTTCTTTGTCAATTATCGGTTATATGAGACCAAAAAGAGACAAAGAAGTGTACTTTCTTTTGAAGGAAGGAAGAAACTTTGAAAAGAAATCAGTATTGTTTGTTTAAAAACTGAAAATGATATAGTTGAACATTTTCGCACAATCTTTGCTCAGTGAAAAAAAAATCGAAATCGTACCTTTAAATACAACAGAAAGATAAAAAACATACGAATAAAATCATTATAACGATATTTATTAAAACATTTAGAATAAAATGATCTAAATGGGTTTTTTTATATCTATAATGGGACATGTGAAGAAAATAATAAATAAATACGCTGAAACTCGTATCTTTCTATGCCATGTTGCAATGCTACACATTGCAGACACCTGAAAAAAATTCAAACGAGGTCATGAACTTCATCTGGCCGATTAATTATACATGATTTCTTAGTTGACCGCCTGTGGCGTGAGGCTGTAATAGATCGTACTGAATTTATGAGATAGAAAGAAATAGGCTGGGCTATTTCTTTAATGTTTTAAGTTTTAACGCCTTTATATTATGTTATAACAGTGGGCATTTAATCGATTCATTATAGTGCAGATAAGATTATATATATATACTTTACGCAAATGTCAGTATACAAGGAAAACGTGAAGAAGATATGTATAATACAATCCTTGTATATTATATATATATAACATGTCAGGCTTCTTTTATTTCATATCAATAAAACAATTAGTTAAGGTAATACCAAGTTGTATTATTAAACAATTTAATGTTGTTTCAATATTTGTTTTCAGATAAAGGATCTTTAATGTGAAGAAACAGACCTATAGAAGAAATCACCAAAATATCACACTATGCCTAGTTTATATGATGTGAACGATAATGTTATTGATTGCCAGACAATCTTCATTTCAACGTGTTTTGCTTATCTATTTTTGTTGTTTTATTTTTAGCAATTAACTAACATATATTGAACAATAGGTTTACGGAATGCCGTTAAGGCCATTGCCTATGAATGTGTTGATCTGAAACGCGATAGTCGATAGTACGATGATGAAAACGCGAAATCAAGAAACTACGATGGTGAAAATGCGAAAGCACGATGATGAAAACGCGACAGTACGATACTACGATGATGAAAGCGCGATAAACTATCGTGTTTTCACCATCGTACTGTCGCGTTTTCACCATCGTAGTTTCGTGATTTCGCGTTTTCATCATCGTACTGTCGTGTTTTCATCATCGTACTATTGCGTTTTCACCATCGTACTATCGCGTTTTCACCATCGTACTATCGCGTTTTCATCATCGTACTGTCGTGTTTTCATCATCGTACTGTCGCGTTTTCACCATCGTACTGTCGCGATTTCATCATCGTACTATCGCGTTTTCATCATCGTACTTTCGCGTTTTCACCATCGTAGTTTCGTGATTTCGTGTTTTCACCATCGTACTATCGACTATCGCGTTTCAGATTAACACATTCATAGGCGATGGCCCTTACGGCATTCCGGAATGCCGTTAGGGCCATCGCCTATGAATGGTTTGGTTTGAAACTCGATACTCGACAGTACGATGATGAAAACGCGAAATCACGAAACTACGATGGTGAAAACGCGACAGTACGATGGTGAAAACACGATAGTTTATCGCGTTTTCATCATCGTAGTATCGTACTGTCGCGATTTCATCATCGTACTATCGCGTTTTCATCATCGTGCTTTCGCGTTTTCACCATCGTAGTTTCGTGATTTCGCGTTTTCACCATCGTACTATCGACTATCGCGTTTTAGATCAACACATTTATAGGCGATGGCCCTAACGGCATTCCGTATAGGTTACACATGTATCGTACTGAAAAAGTAAATGACGACGGAATTTTCATTTTTGAATAGCTAAAAATAGAAGATAAAAGATGATTAAATAGGCGATGTTTAATAAGTGTAGTATTTTTTTTTTCATTTCGCGACAAGTGAAATATCAGAACTTTCATACCACACTTGTATTTGTAGAACAAAACTTGAGTTTTCACTTTATTACATTTTGATTTGGCTGACTTTAGAAGAATGTAGCCAGGAAAGACACCAGTGACAAAACGGAAATATATCTTACTGCTGCAGTGAAAAATAAATTATTTAAGTAAAAAACAAAAACTGAAAATAAATTACTCATTTTTATGTTATAAATATTTTTCAGTATTATAGAAGTTATTTTAAGGATATTAAATAATAATAATGAAAACGTAAATCAAGTTTTTTAATGTCTGAAATTTCGTGATTAATTTCATCGAGTGATATGGAAAAAAAATCACCAGTTGTTGTAGACACGTAATATATAATTATATAGAAAAATAATGAATTTTCTACTTATTATATTCTTTTTCTCTGTTTTAAAATGATAACAGCTATGACAGCGCTCTTTTTATTTATTTTTAATATGCACATTGACGACAGTAGTTACTCCACCAGTAAAAAGTATGTTACACTGCAGTAAAAGAGAACTTATTCAGAGAAAAATATGGAAAATGAAAATACGCAATTCATTTCATCCATATTTTTGCATATTTTACTCATATATGTAAAATAAAAACATACTTTACGCTACATTTATAGTAAAGTATAAACATTAGAATAAGATCAACAGGCTTATCGATTTTTTCAGTTTTCTATTTTACTTAAAGAATCAAACGTGCACGGTTATTTGGTAAAAGTATATATGCTCTTAAGAATAAGATGTCATGAACTATTCATCAGATTTATATAGCCCATTATTATATTTTTGTTTCTATGTAAAGTAATATTGAATGTATTTTCTTCTCTACTATCAATTCTCAAACAAAAGATTGAAAACATGTATGGAAAAAAAAAAACAGATGTTTGCGTTAGTTTTGAATCCTCCTATTTCATATTTAAAAAAGATATTGTCCATCTGCAATTTTTTTAAAATGCTTTTGTAATCCGCATAAATGACAGTAATATTGACCCATTTAAAAGTAAGAGACATATTATTCTGTCGGTATTCGAACAACGATCTTCAACATTATCCTTAGAAAACAAACCCATTTAAAACGGTCATGGAATATTATCCGCAGAACGGACAGGTACAATGAGTTTCGTCAGAGGTTTAAAAGATAGGGGAATTATCCCCCTAACTCTGACAACTCTCTCTATCTATCTCTCTGCGTGTAAATTTGTTCCTGAAAAAGTGTCTGTAGGTAGACCCCCGGAAAAAGGACATCTGGAATTTCCTTTTTTATTCTGGAACGCATTATTAGATATTAACCTTCAAAATAGTTTAAGAAAATATGTTACTGTTTACGACTCCATAGATAATAAAGTGTTTGCGTCATTCTTTATATCGACAAAATTAACAAGTCTTTCATACAAACGGGCCGTCTTATTTCCCTAGGCAAACAGCATTGGTGATTACTTTAATTTATATCTAAGTTCAAATAAAGTGTTTCGAAAACATTACAGTATTAAACCCTAAGCACTTGGCATTGTCAGCTTGATTTTGATTTTTATGTCATACGCGTGTATTCTCAAGAATGGAGAATTGCTAATTTAAAAATAATTCATAATTTAAAAAAATGCTATAAAACATGCGTAAAAATGCAAATGCCAATGTCCTTCCCCTGGTCTTTTAACATAAGAGTCTAACTTATTTAACTATATCTAATATGATAAATTATATAGAGTCCAAATGAAGGTTAAAACAGATAAATGCTTAACTATATTTGCATATAGAAAAGCCAAATCGTCCGCAAGAAATTGTATGTCTCTTCAAAATGCATTTTATATGACAATAAGAGGTAACTTGTTCCAGACAACTAATTTTATTATTTAATCTAACACTTTGTTTAAAAAATAAACTTGTGCATGGGTTGATATATTGCAAGTTTATTCTATTCACAAGGAATCGGTTAATAATTTTGATTTAAATTACCATCTGTTAGATACGAGGTCCATATAAGACAAATGATTCACAATTATCCTTCCTTTTTCCTAGGTAGTACAGCAAAGAAGAAGACATGCATATGATTTTTTATTGGCATAAAAGATAAAAACAAACAAAAAATATATAAAACGTATATGAAACTAATTCCAAAATGAAATAAAATATAAAACCAGCGTAAAGTTGTTAATCTAAAAAAGATATTCCTGTAAAAGGATTAGTTCGCATTAAACTTTTCCCATTAACTTGATGCTAAGTTATAAAACGATGGATAGAAGATATAATTTCTTTACCCTTTTTGAATTAAAATGACCCAATACGTTTTTTTTATTGTAGTTGTCTTTAAAAATTCTTGTTATAAGATTATAAATTGTGTCGCAAAGAGCAAATGTTGCAATTAAGTTAAATAATTAGTCTGCTATGTTAACAAACATGCTTTCAATTGGACAGTTAGAAACCTTTAAATGGCATAATGTGTTAGTATTATAATTTTCATTTTCTATATACAAGTTCGATATACATTTTTATATGATAACCATATTGAAGAATTAAGTAAATACTGCCTATTACGAACTCGATTAGAGATTCGTAATATGTTCCATCCAGAGTGTCTTGTACATCAATAAAGAATCAGTTCTTTTATAAGTCATATATCTATGTTTAAACTAAAATATATTTTAAAAAAATGATTGTTAATAAAAAAAAAAACGAAAGTCATAAAATCGTGAATGCTTATGTTACATCTGGAAACAACGTGTTGAGCAGGGATATGTTAAATAACAAGAACAATGTTATTGTAATAGAATATTATTAACGAAAAAAAAAAGAGAAGATATTAAATGTAACCAGTAATGTTTTTGAATTATTAACAATATTAATTAATTACTCTCGTAACTTTGTTTTATTCAAGGTTATTTGCAACAATGCAAAATATTTTTTTTTAAAAAAAAAAAAAAAAAAAAAAAAAAAGACAATAGTTTAGTCCAAACCATGATCCCTTTACTTTTTACCCAAAGTCTAGAAATAATATTAATTTTTTCATATCAGATTTATTCTATGATTTATAATAAATAAATACTTTCATTATAAAAATCATCAGGTAAAATGCTTAATAATAGTGCCCAATTTCTTTGTAGCTGCTGGTTTAAAGATACATGTATTTGTTTTTTTCATACACTTTATAATATTTGTATATTCCTTACATTTTCAGACTGCGTTAAACACAAATTGCATTTCTATCTTCTGTAGTAGCAATATTGCGTCAGTCATTAAACATGATATGTTTATAATTCGCAAAAATGATTAACTAAACAATCCTATTTCAGTATTATACTTTCGAATTTTTTATATCTACAAATTGCCTGAAGCAGCATTAGTTGTTTGAATAATTTACTTTTTCAAGAAATATTCTTAGTTATGCTTTATGTTATTATGTCGATTGAAATCACATACTATGATATAATCTGGGAAAGGGGTGGTCTTTGTTTCAGATCAAAAGACAACACATCGACAAACAATGATATATAAATATCAAAGTAAGATGCAAAATGTTACTAAATATAGTGATAAATTGCGATTTGCACTCTTTACGACCACTGAATGCTAGTTGTCTGTCTTTAGGCCATCGTTAACATGCCACATTTATGTACTTTGACATTTATTTCGATTTAAATTCCTGATTTAAGTCTATAACATAAGACCTGTAAATGACAAGATTTTTTAAGTAAGTGTAAAGAGTGGCTGTCATTTGCAACTTTGTTTTACGGAAGCAATTTGAGTGTTTAATGTGTTTCATTTATTTGAAAGCTTATTCATTCCTTATTTATTGATTGATCTCTGAAGACTTGAGTCCCTGGTTATGTTCTGTAAACATGAAATAACGAGAAAACCTTCAAAGCATTGCCGTTATTGATTCTTATATATAACACAAGAAATGACATACGAGGGCTGTTCGAAAAGAATTGCTTATTGTCCTCTATCTCGTGATCCACTTGGGGTACGATGAAAACCAATACATACCTGTATAGGGTAATTCAATACCTACACAACAGTGTATAAATGTACATGTTAGACTAAGTGTAAGTAGAAATACACGCAGTCATTGACCACTGTTGTAAAAATGGTTGGTAGAAGCGTCGACAAAAAAGATGAAATACGGGCGTAAATCAAAGCTCGCTCGAAACTGGGTTGCTCTTTGAATCAGTTGATGACTGAACTCTCTACTGCTTATTGGCCTTCTTGTGTGTCTTATGACACAGTTAGGCGATGGAAAAAGAAATTGAGTCTGGTGTAGAGTGCATCAAAAATGCGTCAAAATCAGGTAGGCCAAAATCTGCATCTCGTAACGAAATCGTTTCCAAAATAAAGGATATCATTAAAGGAGATACCCGATTAACAGTTCGTGATATTGCACGAAAGGTAGGCATATCACTATCATCGGTTCACTTTATTTTGAAGAAGCATTTGAGAGTCAGAAAGATTTATGCTAGATGGGTGCTACATCTGTTGACCGATGAGCAATGAGGCAACGGGTTAAGGTGGCCATAAAGCTGCTTCAGATGTTTCCAAAATATGACAAAATAGTTTGCCAATGTCGCCACAGGTGATGAAACTCGGGTCAATTATTTTGAACCCGTCAGAAAAGTTAGCAACAATATCTTGTTCACTAAACACAACAAATGCCCGATAATTGCCAAACGGTCTTTGAGTGCAAAGAAGGTTTTGTATGCAATGGTCTTCTCTGGTGAAGGAGTCGCAATAAAAGTGCCGGTGAAAAAGGGCAAAAATATTCCTGGGAAGTACCACAAAGACGTCAGTAGTACTTAAGAAACTGAAAAAGTATTATAAAGAAACGACGCCCTGTCACTTGTTTTAAGCATATCCGTCTTCTACAT